AGAGTCTTCTGGCCACTGCCGGTCGCGGTGCTGCGTGTGAGGGCCTTCCCGAAGCTCGGCCTGATGGCCTCGGCCACGTCGCGCTCGGCGATCGCGGCCAGGGGCCCTGGGCGGCGCGTCTTCCACCGATGCCTGGGCTGGGGCGCTGGGGGGCGCGAGTGCTTGCGACCCGCTTCTCTCGTCTTCCGTCGGTCGCGGGTGGACCTGCCGCCCCGCGACGTGGCCCTGTCTGGATTCACAGGGAAGGCGCCAGACCTACATGGCGCGGGCTCTGATCGTGGGCCGCGGGCTAGTGCCGCCGAGGGGCAGCCCGACAGGTTGCGCGGCAGCGAGAGCTCGTCAACGAGGTCGAGCCTGCCGAACTTCTTTCGTCGGCGGCGACGCAGGGGCACGACTGAACTAATTGTCCGGCGCGCAAGAGCCGAGGGTGCACAAGGGGGCCGCGGGCGAGGCGCTCAGGCGCTCGGAGGCGGGGGAATTCCACCGCGAGCGGGCCGGGGCGGGAGCAGCGGCGCAGCGGCGGCGACCAGGGGACCTGGGGCGCGCGATGGGCGGGCCAGGGGCGGGAGCGCGCGGCGGGGCAAGGGGGGCAATGCGAAACTGCGGGCGCCCACGGATAGCCGCGGGCAAAATGCTGTGAATCACTGTTCGTCAAATCGCGCGACGCCAAGCGCACTCGCGCAACTGCGAAGCCAGCGGCTCGGCGGGGCGCCAAGGGCGGCGCGGGGGGCGGCAGCCGGGCTGGGGGCGCGGCTGCCAGCGCCTCATGGGGCGGGGCGGCGGCGGGGCAGCGGGCGGCCGGGGCGCGGGCCACCGGGGCAGAGACGGCCGCTCTTATAGCGGCGAAGGCCAGCGCGGCGACCGAGGGTGCCGGGTTTGAAGGCGACTGCACCGCAGAACGGGGCCAGTCCAGGAAGCGGAGGGCGCGGGGCGGGGGGGGGCACTGGCGGGCGCCAGCAGCCGCGCTGCGACGGGGCGCGAAGGCGGGGCGGCGGTGGGGTGGGTGGGTGGTGGTGGGGGGGCGGCGGCGAGGCGCGGCAGGAGAGCCGCGCTGAGGGCGAGGGCCGAGCGGCGACTAAGGGTGCCAGGCCCGCGGGCGGGCTGCACCACAAGAACGCGGGGCCAATTCAGGGCTCGAAGGGCGCGGAGCGGGGGGGGCACTGGCGGGCGCCAGGGGGGCGCCAGCTGCCGCGCTGCGATGGGGCGCGAGGCGGTGGACCGAGGGGGGGCGGCAACGAGTCGCGGCAGGAGAATGCAGGAGGTCGGGGGAACACAGGATCACGCGCCGCCCCGACGGACAGCGCGCGACCCAGGCAGCGAGCCGCGCGGCGCGGAGGCGCGCGGCGGCGGAGTGGGCGGAGACCGCGGGCAAGCGCGGCAGGGGAGCTGTGGCGGCGGGCGAGGGGGCGTCAGGTGCGCTGCGGAGCGCGAGAGCCAGGTGCGCCACGTGTGAGGCACAGGGCGAGCCACCTCGCGCGGGGCCGCGGCAGTCTCGGGCGCGCGCCCCAAAGCGGGAGGTCGCGCGAAGCAGGGGGCCCGCCTCGCCAGGAGCAAACGTTGCGGCCTGCCAATAGCCGAAGTGAAGGGGCCCACCTCATTGCCCGCACGCATCACCGTAGATCTGGCCCCCGCAGGCGCTGCAGTGGACATCGGGTCGGGACAACCGAGCGCATCGGTCGAGCCTGGCCCTCTTGCTCAAGAAGGGCAGCGTGCGCCAGCGCGGCCGCGGCTGCGCGCAGTCGAGCAGCGTGCTCTGGGCCCAGGCAACGTAGAAGTCACGGTCGGATTCCGACTCGACTCGAGCTCTCTGATTTCTGGCGCCCCCGCCCTCGCAAGGTAGGGCCCACTGGTCTCTGTCACCGCCGTCGCCGCCCGAGCTGCCGAGAGTTGTTATAATTCGTGGAGACAGGGCCCCGCGGCCTTCGGGGCGGCCTTGGGGGGCCGCCTCGGGGCCGGAAGGCTGTCCAGGTGCAGACTCGTTTCGCGCCCCCTGGTTTCTGGCGCCGCCGTCTCCGCCAAATGGAGCCCGCTGGTTTGCGTCGCCGCCGTCGCCGCCCGAGCCCCTGAGCGCGGCAGCCATTGTTAGGGCAAGGTGCAGGTGGCACTTACAAGGGCTGGCGGTCGGCTTGGACTTAGAAGTCGCAAGCCAAAGGTTCACGAACAAAAATAATCTCGTGCAATTCCCAATCTGTTTCATCCACTCGGCCACCAATCTTGCCCCCCCTCATCCGTCCCCCGCCCCGCTCACCGCCGCTCTGCTTTCTCCGCTTCCCTCGCCCCCCCCGCGCTTCCTCTCCCTAGCCCACCTCAGCCAGGCAGATCTCGGGTGAGCTCGCGTCCTGCTCGCATGACTTTGAACAGGAACGCTTCCGAATCAGCACGCGTGCAAGTGCGCTGATTCGGAAGGGTTCCTGCTCGAAGAGCGTCTACAAGCACGCGTGCACATGTACGACTGCACACGCACGCGAATGCATACGCGTGCTGTGCAAACGACAGCATGGAGGCGCATTGTTTGTCTAAGCGTACCGTATGTATAGTTACGCACGCGCATACACACTACAGCACATACGACATGCAACTACACATACATCGAATGCTAGACCATTCGCGCGCCCCCCCCCCCCGCCTCGTCAGAAGCCCTGAGAGAGGGGGTCTCGGGTTCAGCTGCAGACAGGCCCCAAATTGTTCCCACAGCGCCTTCCGAAAAAGGAATCCGAAATTGTTATGCTATGTTTATGCATTATGAGGCCGCGTCTGCTTATGCTAGAAAGCGCTTGTGAGACCGCGTCTGTTTACGATATGGTTATTGCATTCTTTCAGGCCCCCGCAGCCGTCGAGCTCCCCGCTCGACGAAGTTCAAAATAATATCAAGTCGCCTTGCGACCCGCCCGATGAGCAGCCATCAGCCGCCAACATAGCCCCCACCCGCACTTGCTGCTTCTGCTGCAGCAGCTTCTTGCGGGGCCTTCGGGGGCCCGGGCCTGCAACAAGACTGCCTGGAAAACACGCCCTGGGGACCCCGTGTTGACCGCGAGGCGTCGAGGCGTCGAGAAGAGCCGCAAGAGGGAAGACCGCGGACCTCCCTCACGCGAGAGGAGACGAGGAGAGTCGGCGACGAGCGCGGGGGGAAGTGAGAAGGGGCGGGCCTTCTCAGAAGGCTCGGAAGCCCCCCGGCCTTCCGAGAAGTTTTCTAAGCCTTCCCCGAAGACACAGAAACTTCTCGGAAGGCGCGAGGGCAAGTCCCGCCGCCTTCTGAGAAGGCCTACTTCTTCTCCTTTCCCCCGCTCGCTCGCCGCCGAGAGAAAGAGAGAGAGAGAGAGACCGCCTTCCCCCCGCCCATCCCCCAGCGCAGCATCGACGCCTCCACGCCTGGACGCCTGGATGCTTTGAAACTGCGACGCTTCAGCGCCACGACGCCTCGGCGCCTCGAAGCCTGGCGAGGTCTCGACCACGCTCCAAGGAAGCGGTTTTCATCCCGGGTCGTCTTCTGATTGGTCCTGCGGCCCAGTGCCGGCCCCCAAGCCAGGGTCCGAACACCGCGAAGGACAGTCCGTCGTGTTCTTTCACCACGCAAGGCGGCCTGCGGAATGGAAGGGCCAAAACGGCACAAGCATAAACGTTCGGAGGCCCTCGCGGATATCGTGGGTCGGCGGTGGACCCGCCCCCCCCCCCCAGCGGCGCCTTCAGCGCCGCCCCTGGCGCGCTCCGCGCGGCACGGATGGGGGTTCAACACCGAACCAAGAAATCTGGCGCGCACATTCGAAATATTACGCTGAAAACTTGATGACTTTTGCTACCCGTGTTGGATCATCCGCCGCTCAATCCAAAAATACCTATCTGGGCCTACATCGCATGACGCCGATCTGCGTCGACTCTTCCGGCTCTATCCCCGCAGACTGACTGCACAAAAATCTTGAAGCCCGTGGGGGTCCATGTCACAGACATGCGATGCCCCGGTGTTTCCAACAAGGTGCCCCTGGAAGTCCAGACCCCACCCCCATGGGCTAATTTTCCACATCGGGCAATGCTTGGCGATCCTGGGCCTGGCGATGGCCCCTGGAGGCCGAAAAGTGCAATACGCCGCCCTGGATGTTTAGTTTGTCTGCGTTTTCCTTGGTTTCTCAAACAAGGAAAAACTGCATCAGCATAGCATTTCGGAGGTCAGCGCGGATTTCTTGGATCTGCGCTGGCCCCCCTCCCCCGCGCGCGGAGCACGCCAAGGGCGGCGCCGGAGGAATTCCAGCGCCGATCCAAGAAAATCGCGCGGCCCGCCGAATGTCTATGTTTACATGCCAAGTTTCCCCCCCGAAGGTGTACGTTTATTGCCGTGCTTTTCATTTATCGTTCTGCTAGTTGTGTGTATGTTTTGTTTCACGCGCTGGGGCCGCCCTTCCTGGTCCGAGCGGGCTCCTCACTCTCGCCCCCCCGCGCCCTGTTCCCCTTCGCCTCCGTGCCGCGCCCTTTGCTCCCGGTGCACCCCCTCGCTTGCGGACCGGCGTCTGACTGTCCTGGACCGCTTAGCGCCCGCGGGCTTATGCCATGAAAGGTCAAACGACTTCTGCCGTCCATCGACTCGCGCTAGACCGGCCACGCTTTGCTGCAAATTTCCTGCGACACTCTTTGGAATGACCTGGATTTTCCACGATTTGCCGGGACCTACCTCGATTGATTTGCAAAGACCTGGCTTGATCAGGCTCGATCCTCACAAGCCGATTGGCGAAAAGTCGTCAAGCCCTTATAGAGGAACAACAAACAACATAATCATAAACTCTCGGCGTTCCGCGCGGATTTCTTGATCTGCGCTGGACCCCCCTCCCTGGCGCGCGGAGCGCGCCAGGGGCGGCGCCCGAGGCTCCGACAGGGGGTCCCAGCGCGGACCCAAGAAGTCAAAAGTTTATGTTGATGCCGTTGTTTCGTCTTCGACCTTAGGGAAATGTTCTGGGGTTGCTGCTCGCTCCCCGACGGGGGTCCGAGGCAGGCAGGCGCGCTGCGCGGAGCGCCTGCTGCGGCCCCGCCTGCGGCGACGGCGGCCCCTGCCAGGGCTGCTGCGGCGGTGGCGCCGCGCCTGGCGCCCGCCGGCGGGCGGCGTCGCACAGACGTCACGACGGGAGGCGCTCTTCGCCGTCTTCGGCCTCGGGGGGGCCTTCGCCAGGCCGCGGGATCGTCGAGAAACGGGCCCTGTGGGGTGACGCGCCTGCCCTGGGGATCGGGTCGGGAATTCAGGGGGCCCGCAGGGAAGAAGTCTAGGCATCGCATGCCTGGGTCCTTCCTTCGGACGAGGTGTGGACCAATGGCGCAGCCTCGGGTTGCGCACGGGGAGCCCCCCCTGGTAGTCCTGGCTGGCCTCCACAGGCCCTCCTCGACCTCCTGAACTCTCCTTCCTCCTCCCTCTTCCTGCCTGCGCCTCCCTCCTGCCTCACCCATCCTCCTCCTCTTCGTCCTCCTCGTCGTCCTCCTCCTCCTCCTCCACCACCTCCTCCTTCTCCCCCCCATCTCTCCTTCCTCCCTCCTCCTTCTCCCCCCAATCTCTCCTTCCTCCCTCCTCCCTTCCTGGCTGCGAAAGCCCGCCAGGATTGTAGCTCGGAGGCGCTCCAAGAAGGGAGGAGCGCTGCCTGTGTGCGGGAGCCTGACCCAACGGATCACAGCCAGTGGGGTCCCTCCTCCACCCTCCTCCCCCTCCCTCCTCCTCCTCCTCCTCCTCCTCTCCTCCTCCTCCTCCTCCTTCCTCCTCCTCCCTCCTCTCCTCCTCCTCCTCCTCTCCTCTCTCCCTCCTCTCCTCCTCCTCCTCCTCCTCCTGCTCCTGCTCCTCCTCCTCCTCCTCCTCCTCCTCCTGCTCCCTCCTCTCTCCCCCCTTCTCCTTCCTCCTCCCTCACCCCTACCTCTTCCCTCCACCTGCTTCCTTCCCCCCCTTCTCCCGTGAAACACCACGGGTGATCGCAAATCGAAATGTCGTTAGGCAGCCCGGGAACACCGCACAAGCCGACCTGCAGTAGGCAAACCCGTGCTGTGAAGCGTGGGCTGAAAGACACATCGAAAAAGGATATGCCCGAAACCCAAACTAACGATATCCCATACACACAGTGTCGAGAGGGAGCAGGAGGGAGAAGGGAAGAGGAGAGGGGAGGGAGGCAAGCTAGGTGCGCTCGCGTCATCTCTGACGTCCTACCCCTCCTTCTCATCCCTTACTATGGCGCAGATCTCCTCCCTATTCGCACAATCGGATGTCACACCATGGCGTAGCATTTCATGGGATAGCATGGTGTGGAAGATTAACGCGTAGCATGACATAGCATGGCGTGGCGACGCCCCAAAATAAGGGGGGGCTTCTGCCGCGCAAAAAATACACGAATCGACACCACATGTGGAATCACTTCCGATAGTTTCTTCGGGAAACCATTCTCTAGATTTTGCAGCCTATTTGGAAGGACCGGAAACCATGCCGTGGCATGGCACTGGAAATAATGACGCCAGCGCTGCAGCGGGAGCACGATTCGGAACGAGCGGAAGCGCGGAAATGAGGCCAGCGCTGCAGCGGGAGCACGATTCGGAACGAGCGGTAGCCCGGCAATGAGGCTAGCGCTTCAGCGAGAGCAGCAGTTTGAACAAGAACAAGCGCGGAAGCGCGGAAATGAGGACGCGTAGCCTGACATAGCATGGCGTGGCGACGCCCAAAAAATTGGGGGGAGGCTTCTGCGGCGCAAAAAACCAACGAATAGACACGGCATGTGTAATCACTTCCGATTGTTCCTTCGGGGGGGCATTTTCTATAGTTTGGGGCCTATTTGGAAGGACCGAAAGCCATGCCGTGGCATGGACTGGAAATAATGACGCCAGCGCTGCAGCGGGAGCACGATTCGGAACGAGCGGAAGCGCGGAAATGAGGCCAGCGCTGCAGCGGGAGCACGATTCGGAACGAGCGGTAGCCCGACAATGAGGCCAGCGCTTCAGCGAGAGCAGCAGTTTGAACAAAAACAAGCGCGGAAGCACGGAAATAAGGACGCGCAGCCTGACACAGCATGGCGTGGCGACGACCCAAAGTCGGGGGGGCTTCTGCGGCGGAAAAAATGCACGAATCGGCACCAAATGTGGAATCACTTGCGATGTTTTTTCCGGTGGGGCATTTTTCTAGATTTTGGTGCTTTCGCTTCAGCGAGGGCAACATTTCGAAACAAAACAAAGCAAAACCCAATTCCGGGGAATTCCTGTGTTTATAAAACCAGTACGCGGAGGCGGGCCCGCCATATCCCGAACGCCACCAAGGGAGAGAGGAGAGTAGCATTCAAATTGTTAATTGTGGAGGAGGACCGCTCAAGACAACCGTCGCGCTGAACTAGTCGTCCTCCAGGCAAGCTCCGCCGAACTGCACGGTGAAACGACGATGGACGAGGAGCGACGGTAGCAGAGGACGCGAGTCTCCGGAGAGGCGGGAAACTAGCGGAAAAGCATGGTGCGCGCTGCCTAGAGCGACGCTGCCAAGACGTTTGGCGAGGCATCCTCAGCCAACTCTTGCTCGTCGTCGATGTGAAAAGCCAGCACTACTTGCTGCACATTTCGCAGCAACGGGGGTACGTCAGAAGGGTCAGGCACGTAAGTGGCAGCAGGGCAGAGCCCCTAGGCTGTGAGTGTTGACTGGAGCGGTGGGGGCTCAGGAGACCAAAGAAGACAAAACAGGGTGAGGCAGGAGAGTTAATTAGTGTGGAAATAAATCAGGCTGCCAGGTGCAACCAAAGGCGCAGCATCTCTGCTGACGACGATGGGCGAGGAGGAGAATGAGGGGAGGGAAGGGGAGGGGAGATTACAACAACTCGGACCACGGGTCGTCCAGGCCCCCGGGCCGCACGTGCCAGGCAGGCCTTTCTCGCAAGTGGGATGACCTCCCCCTGGCGCGGACCGCAGGGGTCCCCGTCCGGAAAAAAGGACGGGCGGCGGTGATCAGACACGTCCAGGGCCCGTCGTCGCCTCCGAGCAGGGAGAGGCACCGGAGGCACCGGCTCTTAGCACGCTTTGGCAAGCGCGCCTCGGCGCCCAGGGAAGAGCGGCGCCGCCTTGGGGCATCCCCCGCAGCAGCCCAGAAGGAGCAGACGACGGAACAGGTGTCAGCAGTTCACGAGGCCCGACGAGGAGAGGGGCTAGCGCTGGTGTGCCTCCCTTTGGGCGTCGAGGAAGGCTTGGAGGTTGCCATGGAGGGACGCTCCCATGGCCGAAGCAGGCCGGAAGGTCTGTTGCAGGCCGCTCCGAACCTTTCGCGCACGGTGGAACCTGTCGAGCAGCGATGTTGATTGCTCCTCGATCTAGCGGAGAGAGGTCACCAGCTGATTAGCTCGCTGGTGGGGCGTTTGTATGCTGGCGGTGAGAGTTGTCTCGCGGTCCTCTTGTTGCTGCCCGCTGGCCGCAATGAGGTGATGTGTAAGACCTTGACTGCGGTCCGTGCGTTGCGCGATACCACTGGCGTGGTGGTCGTCATCCCTGGCCTCGCGGTCGTCCCCGTCGGATACCTGGTGGACCGAATGGGGGCGCACGTTGAGTCAAAAGTGATGGGTGACCATCGTGCCTTGCCGCTCCTGAGCGTTGAGCGGCTGAGCGTTTGTCGTGTCGTCAGGGTGGTCCTCGGCAGTGTTGACGTTGCCAAGGGGGTGACGCAACGAAAGGACGTCGCGGTCGTCGTCTTCGCTGAAGAAGCCCCGAGCCTCAGCGGGTCGAGGTCAGCAGCTTCGAAGTCAGGGAGGGGATGGGAGATGTGGGAGGGGAGGAGAAACGCTCGCGACAATCGCACAGTGCAACGACAACTGAGGGGGGGGGGAGGAAAGGGAAGGGAGGAGGGAGAAGCGGGAAACGAAACGAGACGAGAGGACTCCCGCCTCCTCCCTCCTTGCTCTTCCAGGCGCACTCTGGCCTTCCCCTCTGCTCCTCCTGCCCCAAGCTCCCCCTGCTGCCGCTGCACTTCGACGTCCTCCTCTCCCTCACCCGTCCAGGCGCATCCCGCCAGCACTCGCCCTGCCGGCGCGGCCACACCCTCACCACCCCTGCCCAGCGAGGCTCGGGAGGGTTCTCACCGAACAGAAGTGCTGATACTGCGCCGATGTAAGACTCGGCGGCGAGAGAGGGGGGAAAGTGAGAAGGAGAAGGCCTTCTCAGAAGGCTCGGATGTTCCCCAGCCTTCTGAGAAGTGTTCTAAGCCTTCCTCGAAAACAAAAACAACTTCTCAGAAGGCGCGAGGGTTTCTGAGAAGGCATTCTCCTTCCCATGTCCCCCCCTCGCTCGCCGCCGAAAGACACCCGGGTGGCCTGCCAGTGACCCCGCGCCGCTCGCGGCCTGCCCAGGGATGGCCCGCGGAGCAGGCCGTGCGAAAAGCGGCGTCGGATGCCCGCGGGGAGGGGGCTGCGCACCGTTGTCGCAGGCCTCCGCCGGGCGAGCAGGCGCCAGGCCGAGGGCGCCCCCCCTTGGGGCAAGGCAGGCGCCGCTGACCGCGGCTGGGCGAACTGCGCCAGGGGGCCTCCCCCGGACGCCCCCGCCAGATCCGCGCCCTCGATGCGCCAGCGCGGCAGCCTCGTTCTTGGTGAACTTCTGCGATCTGGCCGACGCCTTCATGCAGTCCACGCGCCGTATGTCGTCGGTGAACAGGTCCTGGTGCTCTTCTGCAGCGCGACTCTGGTCAGAACACAGCCGCAGCGGCGCCGCGAGGAGGCCGTACTTCTGGGGCACGAGCCGGCCGACGTCTTCGAACGCGAGGTCGTCCAGCGAGCGGAACGGCGCCCCGTGGGGTCACGAAGCGTGTTGGGGGTTGTCCCGAGCCGAGGTGGGCACACGCCGACGAGGTGGCAGCGCCCCCGCTGGGGCCGCAGCTGGACTGGAGCTCCCTCAGGGGCACGGGGCGTGGCGGGCGGGCGGGCCGCGACGATCAGCAGCAGCAGCAGCAGCAGCAGCAGCAGCAGCAGCAGCAGCAGCAGCAGCAGCAGCAGCACCACCACCACCACGCGGCAGGCGGCGCAGCAGCACGCGGCAGGGGCGGGGCAGGGGCGGGGGCGGGAGGAGGAGGGGGGAGAGGGCGGGCGCACGGAGCAGCGGAGGGAACGCGAGAACAAAGCTGCACGGGGGGGGGGGGGGGGGGGGCAACGGCTGACGGACAGAGCTGTTGCAGCGGCATCGCCCGCATTAGAGGAGAGCCGAGTTCCCCGCTCCACCCCCTGGCAGATCCTAAACGTTTGTTGCGCGGTGAAGTCAGAACCTGCTCGAAGTCTGCACCTGAACACCTCCCGGACACCACCCTGACGATGCTGTCGCGAGCGCCACTAGCGAGACGCAAGAAGATGAATGCACGAGTGGGCCTCCCTGGCGGGCAAGAAAAGAAACGACAAGCCTGCACAGCAGCCCCCGCCAGCCGCAATGACGGGCTGGCTCGGCTGATCCAGTTGGCCGCCTGAGCTGGGGTCTGCAGGCTGCTGCAAGCGGCGCTCCGCTTCTTGCGCCTCGGGGTCGGGAAGGCGGTGCGCATTGGCCGTTGGTCTCCTCGCCCGCTTCCCTCCCGCACAACGATTCATCCATGCTCCATGCTCCCTCTGTTCTCCTCCCCTCGCATCCTCTTGCCCCATCCAGGAGGACGCCGACCATCCACTGCAGGACATTCGCTGGGTCTGGCCAGGCCCGTCGTCGTCCCAAGATCGGTGCCAGGCCCGTCGTCGTCCCAAGATGGGCTTGGCCAGGAGGCACGTCCTGGCCAAGGTCGGTGCAGACATGTACCGCTCTCCTCGCTTGGTATCCTCGCACTCGCCACCTTAATCTCCATCCCCATCTGCTCCGCATCTTGCTGTAGTCAATACGGGATCTTCGCAATCCCCGACCCTTTCCTGGAGGCTGAAGACGGCAAACAACTCCCGCCGTGATTTTTTACACGACGCGCTGGACCCCACGGCGGCGCCTCCAGCGCCGCCCCTGGCGTGCTCCGCGCGCCAGGGATGGGGGGCCAGCACGGATCCGAGAAATCCGCGCGGACCTCAGAGTTTTTCTGTTTGCGTCGTTGTTCGTTCCCCTACTTCTCCCTCTCCCTGCTGTCCCTGCCTTTTTCCCCCAGTCCTAGGTCGGGCATGTCCCCCTATCCTCTCCATACTGTTTTATAGTATTTTTGAATCTTCCCCCTGCAGAGGGACACGCTCGACTTAGCCCCAGTCTGAACATCTCCATGCTGGATCAGCCACCACTGGCAAATCGAGAAAGCTGCACAGGCCGACCTCCCACAGGCCGACCCTCGCCGTGGTCCGGTGGCGAGGCGAACGCAGGAGGGGGAAGACCGACGAGGGGAGGGAGGAGGAGGAGGAGGAGGAGGAGGAGGAGGAGGAGGAGGAGGAGGAGGAGGAGGAGGAGGAGGAGGGGATGGGAGGAGGGCGGAGCACCGAAGCGAAGCCAGGGAGCATGGGCCAGCCCCTGCTGTTCCACCCTCTGCCGCTCCGACTCCTCCTCTTCTCCTCTCGTCGATGGCCTGGAGCCGCTGCTCCTTCGCATCCCGTTCCTGCTTGTGCACGTCCCACTGCGTCTTCCTCTTCGACGATGAGAGCCAGAACATGTCCGCTGGCCCGGGCTAAGGCGAGTGAGATGCTCTACTGCGTCATCCCCCTCTGCTTTCCACTCCCCTGTGCCTAGCCAACAATGACTGTCTGGGGCTAGTGCTCACACGGTTCGATCCGGTTCCGCATCGCCCCTGGCTCGCAGAGTTGCTGCTCACGATGTCTACTGGCGGCTGCTGGACAGCGGGCACGAAGTTCGCGACTGAGCCTTGCGCACCACCACGTGTGCTAGCGCTGCAGCTATTCAACCGCATCTGCAAGGTGGGCCTTTTCCCTAATCCGTGCTTCGGTGCGGATTGTCTGCGCGCCTCGTCTTCTTCGTGGTCGTCGTCGTCGGCGTTGTCGTGGTCGTGGTGCGTGTTGCTCTGCTCGGGACTTACTTCCCTGATGCAGTGACCGCCACCACCAGCGCTGCAAAAGCAGGCGCCCGAAACGATGCTTCGCTGGGGCGGGCTGTGCAGGGCCAGTCACGGGCCGAAGGCTTCTCGCAACTCGGGAGGCCTGGTGCCTGGGCGCAGTCAGACGTGGACAGGTTCACAGGCCCGAAACCATCGCCATGGTGGTCGAATCTGGACGTGCGTGGACCTCATCAAGCCCGATCCCACCGGCCCTCGCCGACCTGCTGCGACGCCTCGGGCTGGCAGCAGGCAAACCCGCCTCACGTCGCGCCGCAGTCGGAGCTGCCCAGATCACAGACACGTCTGCGTGGCAAAAAGGGCCCACCGTGTCTTGGCCTCTGGCAGGGTGAGCGCCGAGCGTCCCGGGAGCAGCGCATCCACGGTTCAGGAGAGATGGGTGGCCTCTGGAGCGGAATTGGCCAGCGTGTCAAGACGAGGGATCCTTCGGACTTCGTGGCCATGCAGGCGCCATCCCCGTCTTAATCTCAGAAAAGGTGGTCCAGAGCCGAATCTGTCAGAGATTGAGGGATTTATGGAAATCAAACGCAGTCCCCCAACCTCGTGGGCATCCGAGAGGGGGGCGTCCAAGAGGGGGGGCGCAAATCATGGCCGGCGGCATGTGCGCGGCCCAGGGCGGGGGTCCGGGGACGTACTGAAACAAGAAGAGGAGCCATGGAATCTGGGGAGATACCATGGCCCTCGCCATGATGTCCACACACCCCTAGTCATCACACCCCTCTTTGCCGCCCCCAACAATTGGTCGCTTCGCGTCGTGCGTGGCGTGCGGGCGAGGCGGCGAAGCTGCGCGAGCTCATGCACTGCTTGGGCCTCTAGGTCATATCGGGCCCCCGTGCGCTGGGACGTGCCCGGGGCTGCCCAGCGGTGCTGCGGCTGTCCAGGGGCTGCTCCGTGGCTGCTTTCTGTGGCTGTCCCGCGATTGCCCCGCGGCTGTTCCGTGGATGTCCCGTGGCCATCGCGCGGTTGCCCCTCGCACTTGCATCCTGTGGTTGTCCCATTCTCGTTTCGTGGTTGTTTTGGAGGCGTCCCGTGGTTGTCCTGGGGGTTTCCCGTGGATGTCCCGTGGTTCTCCCATGGTTGTCTCGTGCCTGCCACGCGGTTGTCCTGTGGCTGTCCCGTTGATGTTCAATGGTTGTCCCGCGGTTGCCCCGTGGTCGCCTGGTCTGTAATTAGCTCTTTAGCCAGACTTGTAGAGAGGTAATGAAAGCGATAGGTCTACAGGTAGTGAGATCAATGGGTAGCCAAAACCGACATATACATTGATAATGTGATCGGTAGACCGATGGTGAGATACATAACCCGTGATAGTCTCGTGGTTGTCCCATGGTTGTCCGATGGTTGTCCCGCGATTGTTCCATGGTTGTCCCCTGGTTGTCACGTCGCTGTCCCGTGGCTGTCCCGTGTGTCACATAGTTTCCCATGGTTGTCCCGCGGTTGTCCCGTGATTGTCCCGCCTATACAGGAATATAACAGGTCATATCTTGAATCCATTCCCCAAACGCTGTTTGGACTTATGGCCATTGTTCTGTTCTCATGTAACTAGGCCCCAAAAGGTGGTCAGGTCGCCTCATTGCCGCCCGTCCTCGCTGTCGCCGCTGAGCCCCAGTGGTGGTCCGGCTAGCTCGTCGCAGCCCGTCGCCGCCGCCCGTACAATGCAATTGCAATCGCATTGCATTGTAACCGCTTTGCGTTGCATTGCAATCGCACTGCATTGCGTTGCTCTGCATCGTCTTGAATTGCCTTGCATTGCTTTGCATTGCATTGAATTGTTGTGCATTGTTTTGCATGGCTTTGCATCGCTTTACATTTCTTTGCATTGCTTCGCATTGCGCTGCGTTGCGTTACCCTGCATTGCGTTGCATTGATTTGCAATTATGTTTCATTGACTTGTATTGCTTCGCAATGCTCTGCACTGCCTTGCATTGTCCTGCATTGTTCTACATTGCATTGTTTTGCATTGCTTCGCGTTGAGTTGCGTTGCTTTGCAATTATTTGCATTGATTTGCATTGCATTGCATTGCATTGCTTTGCACGGCGCATTGCTTTGCTGTGCTTTGCTATGCTTTGCTTTGCACTACATATGTAACACCGTATAGGTTGAACTACCTACAGTGCACCACGCTGGCTGCACCGCCTAGATTGCAGTGACTCAATGTATGGGGTCCGCGCTTGCTAACACTCGTATGTATACATATGTGTGTGGGAACATATACATACATCGATAGATATGCTAGCCAGCGTAGACCCCTAGCAATGAGTAATTGCACGGAGAAGGTGTAAGCTCTGTGGTGCAAACTCTGCGATGAAATAGGTGTGGTGTGATCTGTCTTGTGCCAATACGTGTGGTGTAAATCATGGGCTGCTGGCGACACCTCGGCGGGCTCAACCAATAAGTGAGTAGCAACGAGGCGGTCACGAGGCGGCGACGCGGCGAAACCTCGGCAGGCCTCCTAAGCCGGCGGCATCGAGGCGGTCACGAGGCGGCGACGCGGCGACACCTCGGCGAATTCGTTCCATAAATGGGCGATAGCGAGGCGGCCACGGGCGGCGACGCGGCGAAACCTCGGCGGGCCCCCCAAACGTGCGGTAACGAGGCGGCCTCGAGGCGGCGAAACCTGGGCGGACCCCGAAGTGGGCGGCAACAAGGCGGCCACGAGCGGCCACGAGCGGCGGACCCAACCATAAGTGGGCGGCAGCGGGGCGGCCATGGGCGGCGACGCGGCGGTCCCGCCGAACCCCCAAGTGGGCGGCAACGAGGCGGCCACAGAGCGGCCACGGGCGGCGACACGGCGAAACCTCGGCGGACCAAAGCAATTCCATAATTCGACGAGGAATTACCCCCAAGTGCAAGCACTCTTTGGGGAATCGGTTGTGAGGTCGATGGGGAAAGAGATCGTGAGATCGAAAGATACGGAGATCGGTCAAGATCTTGGTCGAGGGATCGAACGATAGAAAGATCGCGAAAGCGATCCGAAGCCAAACTCAAACCGAAAGCTGCACATAGGTGTTGTATGTTGGTTGGACCGCAAGTGGACACCAGTGGGACTGCACCGCAGGTCACTTTAGTGAAAGGGTCACCCCCACGCGTAGACGAGTTTAGCGATGTGCTGGACTTCTTCTGCGGCAACTGATTTGCGTCACCACTGCTGTTACCCTTCCTCCTCCCCGCTCGTCCTCCACCTCCGCCTCCTCCTTCTCCTTCCTTTTCTTTCTCTTTCTTCTCGTTTCTCCTTTCCTTTTTTGTTTTGTTTTGTTTGTTTCACTTTTCCTCCTCCTCCGCCGTCCCGTGTCCTCAACACGAGCTATGAGAACAATGCTGCCGATCCACCCTACAGGAGCAACTCGCTTCACTGTGCTAAGGTACCAATTGATTGCGGTGGCCCAAATATCACGCGGAAAGGCTGCACGACCCCCTTCAACCGTTGCTCCTGATAGATGCGCCTTCGAAGGGGATGGTGGCTGGAGTTAGCGCGCACCCTTCCCCAATACCCTTGCCAAACGAAGATATGAAGTGGGCGTGGCGGCACTTGCCGGACAGCATGTTCCCCTCATTACCCTCAAGACCCACAATGAAAGTCTGGTTTCTGCTCTTCAAAAACATGCGTCCAAATCCAGGTGAGGGCGCAGTTCTGAAGAGCGTGCGCGGGCAATGTGTGAGCTTTATCTGCCACGGCTGCATCACAAAATCCAGATCGCGTCTCTCCAGTTCAGCAAGATGTTCCTAATCTGAGGGCGCGCGAAATTTCGAAAGTGTAGCGCACGTGGCGCACCTGGCGCATCAAGTAAGTCTGTGCACCTGGTGTACTTGGCGCTCCTAGCCCGCATGGCGCACACGGCCGCCTGCCGCAACTACGGCTACGGGGGCACCCCGCACACCTGACGCAGCTGGCGCACCTGGCGACCTGGCGCAGCTGGCGCGCTTGGCACAGCTTGAGCGCCTGTGCAGACGGTGTGCTCTGGCGCTCATGCTTGATATTGTTTGCTGTCCATGTGACAGCGATCGCTGCACACGCCGTGTCTCGGTGGCTGCTATTGGGTCAGGAGAGCGGGCAGGTGTGAGCGGGCCACATCTTCCCTGTGAGAAGCCGGCCAGACGGCAAAAGCCTATGATATAGATCTCTTTCTCGATTACCTTCCCGCAACTATCGATGATGTTGTGGCCTGTCTTCGCCCACTTTATCATGTCTTCGTCCTTGACGCCGCCATGCGTCTGGAACTTCCCGTCTGTGGGAGGGCAAACATTCTATACTCGTACTCTTCCGCCCCATCCCTCATTCTCCTCCTTCTTCTCCTGCTCCTCCTCCCCCTGCTCCTCTTAAAAACAAGGCCTCAGACGGCTCAACATTCTCCAGCCGTCAGCCCGCTGGAATTTTCGAGCGTTGCCCCATTTTCATGACCTGTCACTGTCCTGTGGTCCCGGGACGGACCTTGGACGCAGCCGAAACAAACTCACTCCCAGCGCGATGTGTTCGAATCGCCAGAAGTCTTTATCTTTCGAGTCGCCAGAAGTCTGATCGAGGAAGGGGCGGGGGCCTATGAGCACAGCGCGTACTAACGATTGGAAGTGTGCCATCCGTAAATCTATGCCCTCCCAGTGCTTCTGTGGGGCACCCACTGGCAGGCCTTTGTCGACGTGGCCGCTGTAGGGTCCATGGCGACATTTGTGCCCCCCCCCTTGACAGACTACTCTGGGTCCTCATGGTTGCTGAAAGCGGGCCAAGGGCGATAAATGGATTCCCCAGAGCCTCCTCTTCTTCCTCCGCCTCACTCTCCGGTTTTCCTCTCCTGCCCTCCCCCTCCTAGTCCTTCCTACTTCGCATCCTCTGCCCCATTGGCCCTCCCCCTCCCCTCGTCTTCCTTCTCCTCCTGCCCTTTTCTGTTCCCCGTTGGCTTCCTCTTCCCGCTTCCCTAGCCCCCTCATCCCTTGCTGCTCCTCCTCCTGCTCCTCCTCCCCCTCCTCAACCCTTCCCCTCCTCCGCATCTGCTTCTTCAACTTCTTCCTCCCCCGCCCCCTCCTTCTCCATCCCCTTTCCTTGTAAATAACTCCTCCCTGTCTCACCCCCAGGCGTGGCGGTGGGGTGGGACGGGCGATTCGCCTGAGACCTCCTCGCAATGTGCGATCCTCAAACTTGACATTCGCACCCGTTTCACGGATTGGGAGCATCTGCCCTAGCGCCGCGCACATCCGCCTTGACAGACAGTTCACAACAGCTTCATGGATGGATGGCGAGTGGTTTTCAAGATGTGACTCTCGACCTAGCGCCGAGCACATCCGTATCGAAAGCTTACAACACTTTGACGGATGGAGGGCAGGTGGTTCTCAAAATGTGGTTCTCGCACCAACGTCGCGCATATTCGTCGCAACAGTTTGCAATTTGCCGCAGTTTCGCAGATGTGGGGCAGACAAATTACAAAATGTTGCTCTCACCCTAGCCTCGCGCGTCCTAAAAGCTTGGAGCAGCTTCGCGGATGGAGGGCGGGTGGTTTTCACAATGTGGCTCTCGCCGTAGCGCCACGCACTTTCGTCTCACAAATTCGCAACGGTTTGAAGGACTTGTATGGTCAGAGCCCCAGGCACGGCGATTTGGTGAACTGCCGGAACTGTAGGGAGACAACAGTCACTTTGATTCGTGGGCTTGAAGTACCACGAGCGGTGCTCTTGCACGATTGAAGATTGTCCGGAGCGACCGTCATGTTGATCCACGGCGTTGAAGTCCAAAGAACGCGGCGCTGGCACTAGTAAAACTCCCAGGTGGATGCCTTCTAACAAGCCACTTCCCACAATGAAAATAGCTTCTACCAAAGACCTATGAAAAAGGGAACCTTTGAGGGAGGGGTTATTGTATCATCGTTGATGCGCCTTGGGTTTACACGGGTTGTCCTTTCGGATTACGTTCCCCCTTCTTCCCTCCTCCTCTTCCTCCTTCCCCTCCTCGCTTCATTCTCTATTTCCCTACTTCTCCTCTTACGTATCATCCTCCTGCCTCCCCTCCTTCACGTGTTCGTATCGAGTCTGCGCGCGTCGAGGGCATTCACACATCAACTCACGTGCAATGCGTCCTCGGGGGTACTTCGTGCCCGGCAACGCTCAAATCCTCCTGCACTCTCTTGTCGAAAAGAAGCGTGCTGAGGCCGACACGGGCAGCCCACTTCTCGAGATCCCAACGCCACGCTGCTCCGGTTCATCTTGCACATCGTGCTTGGAGACACGGCATCTTGCTTTCGGCACGCACGCACGGCCCTAGCCCTGACTGTGCCCCTTGGCATTGCCAGAACTACTGCTGAGACTGCTGCCACGTACCCTCCCGAAGACACGCAAGCAGCCAGTGACTGATCCCTGCGGAACTCTCCGAGAGGAGGCCACCGCGAGGCCTCCCAAGACAACCCAGCGGCCCTCGAGCTGCTCTGGGGCGGCACCGCGACCCCCCCCCTAAAAAAGGGGGCAACATCACTTAGGCACTGCTAGGCTGCAGAACTGCTTGGTCATACAACATGCCAACGACTCTGAGTTTATGATTGGCAGGTTTAACGCTCGTGATTACAGGAAATCCACTTGAGCGACATCTGCCAGCCCCCTTGCGATGCGATACGACCCGAATTCCAGCTCGTATGAGGCAGTCCTCTCAGATGGCAGGCATGTGGGACACGCAGTCCCAGTAACAGGGTGCACTGGAAGATGTTTCGCGCAAATGGTCGACAAGCTGCGTGGTCGAAGCTTCGGCGCCCTGCTACCAGCCCTAATTTATGGTGTTCCAGCACAGTTCCAGTGCAATTCCTCTGTTCCAGGGAGTAGGAAATCATAGATCCCTGATCCTGGCTCCAAAGCTGTAAGGTTGCAGAACACGCGATACGTCGGGATGAAAAGGGACGCGTCACCATCCAATAATCACGTCCTCGGAATTTCTGGGTGGCCCGAGGAACGTCACAGACAGGTGACGCACCCAACACTTTCTAAACGAGAGGCGGCTATCAACAGGAGCGCTCCATACAAGAGAGATGTGCAATGCTCTTGAACGCGTGGGGTCAGCTGCCTGCGGAGAGGGAGCCGTCGGCCCGCAAGTGTCAGTCGTGCAGCTTGGAGCTCCGCTGTCAGGGTGGAAGAATACGGCTTGCAGCTGCTCTAGGCCTCCCAGATGGAGTCAGAGCCGATGCATCGGCGATGTGGCCCGATGTGGAGCCCGAGTTTCTTCACGCCGACGTCGCCGCTGCATCGCCGACGTCGCCCATGCATCGGCGATGCGGCGAGATCCCTGGACCTCATCTACAGTCGGACCGAGGTATAAGATCGGGGTCGGTTCGGGGAGGGTGCCCTAACGTTCCTCGTGCTTGCTGGATGCTCTTGCGCATGCTGGAGAGGGTACCCTCGAATGTTCTGTGTGTCTTGACCAGCGGAGGGCCTCCTCTTCTTGCAGGATGCTATTATGTCTTGGGTCCGACTGTGCTCGGACCCCATGTGGGAGGCCACTGGCTGCGGAGGCCGCTTTGGAGGCTGCATTCGGGACGTTGCAAACAGCCCGACAAGGTCAGTGAGCACTAAGAGAAACGTCAGCGGCGCATCACCGGCCGCTCCCTGGGAGTTTGACGCATCTGGTCGGTAGTCTCTTGGAGGCAGTTTTGAAGCCTCTTTGGGGGCTCTTGGGCGCCGTTTGGGGGCCTCTTGGGGCCTCTGTTGGGCCTCGTGGGGGCTTCTTGGAGGCTTGCTGGCGGTCTGGGAAGTCCCTTTTGAGCAGAAAGCTGGAAATGTAATTTCGAATTCTGGCTCTAGGGCCCTCTCGGAGCCGTCATGGGCCGTCTTCGGCGCGTCTTGGGCCGGCTTGGGGCCGTCTTGGCACGTCTCGGGGCCCTCTTCGGGGTCTCTGGGCCGATCTTATTGGGGCGATCTTGGGGGCTTGTAGGCTCGTCGCTGACGCTCAGAATCCCAAAAGTCGCACATGCTAAAAGTATACGTTTTCCGATACGGGTGGGACGAGTGTTGCCTTTCGGACCCTTCTTGGAAGGCCTTGAAGCCCTCTTGGGGCGTCTTGGGGCCCTCTGGGCCGTCCCAAGGCCATCGTGGGCGTCTTGGGGCGGTCTGTCGGCGACGTGGGGCCTTCTTGGACCCTTTCGGGGGCCGTCTTGAGGCTCATTGGGGTTGTCTAGGGGCCCTTGGGATTTCTTGAAAGCTTCTCGTCGGGGGGGTCTGCGAGGGACCGCCGGAGGCCCACAGGAGGGACTTCAGGGAGATTTTTACCAGGCCCAGGCGAATCCTACCAGGCACTTGGTCAGAGTAGTCTCGCACGGCCCAACCCGCAGGGCGGGAGCGGCCGGATCTGAAGGGCAACGCTCTCTGCCGCCGGCTCCCCCCCCGCCTGAGATAGCTTGCGTGGCCACGCTTGATCGGTTGGGCTGTTTTGTTTTTGATGTTCATGTCGGTTGGCTGGCTGAGTGGCAACTCGGCCCGCTGTTCAAAGATACGGTTGTTTGTTGGTCTGAGCTGTTTACTGGCGAACTGACTGGTTTCGCGGGTGTGTAATAATGAAGGAGGGGTGGTGACCGCGGGAGCGCGCATCCTTCGTAATGTGCGAGGCGTGGTTGCCTCGGGAACGCACGTGCCGTAATGTACCCGGGGTTGCTGCCTCGGGGGCGTGCGCGCGAGTGTGTGCTCAAGTGGGAGTTGGTGGGATGCCTGTAGTGGGGGGCTAGTGGGTTTGAGTGGGGCCGCAAGTGAGATTTAGTTGGATTTGGCGTGCTCTCGTGAGACTTGATGCGATTTACTAGCATCGTCGGGGCAATCATTACCGCGGGGCTATGCGGCTGCGACGCCCCCCACCCACTTGTCTGCACCAGAGGCAATCATTGCGCCTGTCTAGACATCATCGCGCGTGCCGCGGCGCCGGCCTGCACTAATCCCGAGTATTTCCCACCACATCTCATTACCTTAGCGCCCGTATGACTTCACTAAACTCTCATGCCTGGCCGCCTCATCGCATACGAGGTATTATGATTTCGGGGGCGCACATGCTCGTTTTCAATTACCAGGCACGGTGGCCCTGGGAAGGCGAACGCGTCGTAATTCACGAGGGGGTGTGGCCTGGGGAGCGCGAGCGTGGTGTAGTGCACGATGGTTCGTGGCATCGGGAGCGCGCATCGGGTCCAGTGTAAAAAGAAAGAAATGTGGCCCTGGTAGCGCACATCCGTTGTAATTAAGAAGGGCTTGTGCACCGAAGAACGCTCATCCTCTTCAAAGTGCAAGCAAGGGGGCTGTGGTCTCGAGAGCGCGCGCGTGTTGAAAGTTTCAGCGGGTTGCGGCCCCGGGGGCGCGCATCTGCTACAATTACCAGGAAGCGTGGCCCTGGGATCGCGCATGTCTAGCTTCGCCAAGACCATCCTTGGGGCGGGGTCGTTGCTTTGAATAAAGCACTGGTCGCACAACCTCCTCACACCTACGCTCTCCCTCTCCCTCCACAGGCCTTCTGCCTCTTGTTTTACTATTCGCGCTTGGCGTATTCCCACCCGCCCATTCGGAAACCCTGCCCATAAGAGTTAACAGGAAAACGGACGAAGAGAACCATGTAGTGAAACAAAGCGGGCAACCAGGGTGATCTGAGAGATCTCTGGGAGCAAGGGGGTGGCCTTGGAGGGCCTCTTCGGGCCATCCCTGTGGCCCGCGCGAGAGCGAGGGAAGGAGGAGAAGGAGGAGGAAGAAGACGATGACGACCACGACGACGACGACAAGAGGGACAAGGACAAGGAAAAGGAAGACGATGAGGGCAAAAAACAGGAGGAGGAGGAGGACAACGAGGACGAGGACAGAGCCCTCAAAATCGCCTCTTGGAGCCCTCTTGGAACTCTGTTGGGGGATCTTGGGGTCCTCTCGGAGCTCTGTTGGGGGGTCATGGGGCCATCTTGGGGGCCTCTTGGAGCCCTCTTGGGGGTCCGTTGGGAGCCCTGGAGGGCCTCTTGGGGCAATTTTGGAGGCCATCGATCAAAAGGGGAGGGGCCCGCGATCTTCGTCCCCCCCCCCGCCAAGAATCATCAACATCGCCCTCTCGGGGCCATATTGGGGCGTTCTCGGGCCGCAAGTGGGCGCTCTTGGGGCCGTATTGGGGGTCTCGTGGGCCTCTCTTGGGCGTCTCTTGGGCCATCTCGGGGCCATCTCGACGCCTCAACCGCCATCGGAAGCGAAAAGGCGAGAAGCCAAACATCTTTGATGTCCAATAGTTGTTTGACGAAGTTAGGCCCCTTTTGGGTGGGTCCTGAGGGGGCCCATTGAGCACTGGGAACTGTCTGGTGGCCCACGTCGGGCCCTTTCATAGTATTATGTTGGAAATTGTCTTGAACCATCGTCGGCTATCGTGAGCCATCTTGAGGCCATCTTGGGGAACCGGAGGGCCTCGTGGAACCATCTTGGGCGAACAAGGGCCCTCTGCCACATCGCAGCCTGGGGGGGGGAGGGGTAGAGCACCCCTCCCTGAAGAGAATAGGATTTCGAATGAGGAAAGGAATACATCGCTAGACCATCTTAGCCCAAAGGACTGGTGGGATTGCGAAGTCTTCTTCGTCGGGTTCTCGCGTTGAATAGAGCACTGATCGCGCGTCTCCCACCTCCAACCTTTCCTGCTGGGAGGTTGCAAGCTGTGGACCTGTCGCCACTTTCGTGCACTCCTGGGAGGTCCAGTGGAACGGAATGCCACGCGGATCCCAATGAGACCTCGTTGCTCCCTCTGGGCTGTCAATTGCGCGTCTGTCGCCACTTCCGTGCATTGTTGGGTGGACCAGCGGAGCAAAGTGCCATTAGGATCCAGACGAGACCTCGCTGCTCCCTGGGGGCTGCCAAGTGCGCAACCGTTCACCCCTCTCGTTCGTTGCTGGGAGGTCCAGCGGAGTCGAAACGTGCCGCGTGGATCCAGACGAGACCACTCCGCTCCATGGGGGCTGCCTGCGCTACCGTTGCCATGTGTTTGCCTTGCTGGGGGTCTAGCGCAGGGGAGTACCACGCGGATCCAGACTGGACCTGTCCGCCCCTGGGGGCTGCCAACCGCGCATATGTCGCCACTTACTTCGTGAGGTCCAGCGGAGAGGAGTGCCACGCGGACCCGGACGAGACTTCGCTGCTCCCTTGGGGCTGCCAACTGCGCATCTGTCGGCACTGTCTTGTGGTGCTGGGAGGTCCAGCGGAATGGATGCTACGCGGACTCAGGCGAGGCCTCGCAATTTCTGGTTGCGTCGGTCCTTGGAAACTCCCGGCCTCCATGTAAGCCTCCGCGCCGATCATGTGGCCCGCCGCCTGCTGCCTGCTCCCAGGGAGGAAGCGCAACTGCCCCTCGTCCTTGCCGAATCAGCTTGGGGTTGCGTGACCGTGAGGCCACGGCCACCTTCTCGGCCCCAGTCTGTTGAACGTGCCGGTGCATATTCAGGCCTCTGGCGCGCGAGGTCGAGCTCACTCTCCAGTGGCCCGCGTCTTGAACTACCGCGGCCGAGCACCCTCCGCGCCACTGGTACCACGATCCGTGGCGCTGTGGCCGCCACCCAGATGTGCGGTTGGCCACCACCATATCTGGGGAGCAGGGAGACATGGGACTCGAGCGTGGGATACAGAACATGGCCTGACGGGGCCGTCGGAACAGTGACGACACCCAATCAGCCATTTGACGCGAGATCCCGCTGCAAACACCCCACGAAACCTGGACCATGAAATTCGTGACGGGACCGCCAAGGAGCGACGGCAAACACGAGTTCTGGCAAACTCGAGCCTTGTGCGTTTCCGACGCATCATGCTGCAGCCTGCTGCGGGGCTCAAGCTCAATCAATACCTTGCGAGGGAGGCGTTGGCAAATCGTCGAGATACGACGCGGTGTGGAAAAAGACGTCGACAAGCATCGCCGCGGATGCAGCTGACGCCACAAAGGCCAGCCGCGATTACGTCCCCGGTCACATTCAGACCGTCCTGGGTGGAGCAAGCGGCGAACAAGAACGACAAGTGCTGCGACCACCTCTGCGCTCAGAATAAGCACTGCCTTCCTGCAGCCACTTTCTCTACAATCAGGATGCTAGCATAATATCATAATGAAAAGTGTGCAACGAGATGGTGGACAAGGGGTACTGCAGTGCCTGAAGTAGCAGAGAAATTCCGCGGTCCAAAGGCGTGACTGAAGCATTATCCATTCTGGGACGGGGTCGCGGAGCCCTCCCTGTGCCTAAACATGAGAGTAAACAGCGACGTTTGTTTGATGATGGGGAGTAGGGAGGAGTCCCATGACAAGTTTCGCACATCCACATTTGCTGCCCAAGATGCTAAAAAACGCGAGGCGACCTTTTGTGCCAGCTCCTCCTGCAGCGCACGACCGCTTGCTCTTGTAACCCTCCGGGCCTGTCCTCCCCCCTTTTCCTCATCCTCCTCCTCCTCCTACTCCTCCTGCTTATCCCTCCTCCTCCGCCGCATTCTCTTCCTCCTCTCCCCTCCTCGTCCATGCATCCTCCTCCTTTCTGCTTCTCCGGTTCACCTCCCAGTTTCTCGCCCCACCCCACCCCACCCGCCCTTTCGCCACGGGCCTTCTTCCTTGCACGACAAGTCGGATCTGCTGGCTTCCTTCACCAATTCTTTCCATATCTGCTGGCTTGCCCGCACCACAAGTCCGCTTGGCCCCGCGTCGGTGGGCAACAGGAGAAGAAACCATGGCGGCGGGATCTACATTGGATTTCTTTCCAGATGCACAGCAAGGCAAGACACAGAGGGACTAAATGTAAGTGCGTATACAGTAATACACGAATGCAAAGAGGCGTATAACGGAAGTGAGAGAGAGAGAGAGAACAAACAAAGAGAAAGAGAGAGAGAAAGAGAGAGAAATCATGAGGACCATGCCGCCACCGTGCCTGCGGCACGTTGAGGCGTGGAAGAATGCCAAGGGCTGCCTGGCAAGTTTTCTGTAGTCTTGAAAAAATCTCCCTCCTCCGCAGGACGCACTTCCCTGACTGCATCGCCCCTGTTGCCGGGAGTCCCTGGGCGGTCATGGCGCCTCCCTGGGGATCAACAAGGCTTCCATGACGGCCCAGGAGGCCCCCAAGACGGTCCAAGAGGGCCCCGGGTCGCCGAACGATCGCTCGAGGACGCCCAACATGGCCTCAAGATGGCCCAAGAGGCCTCGTAGACGCCCCAAGAGGCCTCCAAGAGGCCTCCCAAGAGGGCCCCAAGAGGCAACAATCATGGAAGTTCCATCGATGTTTGAAGCTCTTGGAACGTTCTCGCTTTTTCGGTCCGACGCTCCAAGACGGCCCAAGAGGCCCCCAAGGTCACCGCAAAACGGCCCAAGAAGCCTCCAAGAGGGCCCCAGGACGGCCTAAGAGCGGCCTGAGACGGCCCAAGAGGCGCCCAAGACAACCCAAGAGGGCCCCAAGACTGCCCCAAAAGAGGCCCAAGAGAGAGAACACGAACCGAACATCCGAGCCTTCCGCCCCAAGACCCAAAAAGGCCCCAAGAGATCCCCAAGAGGCCCCACAACGGCCCAAGAGGCGTCACAACTGCCTCCAAGAGGCCCCCGAGAGGTCCCCCCAAAGATCCCAACGAACATACAATAGGCTTCATACCCACAGTCCTGGCAGGCACGGTGGCGGACTTGCTGTGGGCAGCTGGACATGTAATATTTTATATCGATATCTATATATATATATATTTAGGAAGATATCGAGAGAGAGAGAGAGAGAGAACAAAAATTATCCCGGCAAAGCAACCTAACAGCGATGTGTAGAAGCATATATGGAAGCATTCCCCTTAAGATTCAGATGAGAATCCAGTTGTAGAGTTCTGCTGTTCTCGCAGTCGCAGTCGCATTCGCGATGACAGTCGCAGCGGCAGCGGCAGTCGCAGTCACAGCCTCAGCCTGCCTCAGTATCAGCCTGCCTCAGCCTCAGCCTCAGCCTGCCTCAGCCTCAGCCTCAGCCTGCTTCAGCCTCAGCCTCAGTCTGCCTTCAGCCTCAGCCTCTGTGCCTCAGCCTGCCTCAGCATCAGCCTGCATCCGCCTCAGCCTCAGCCTCAGCCTCAGCCTGCCTCAGCATCAGCCTGCCTCAGCGTCTGCCTCAGCCTGCCTCAGCCTCAGTCTGCCTTCAGCCTCAGCCTCAGCCTCAGCCTGCCTCAGCATCAGCCTGCCTCAGCCTCAGCCTCAGCCTCAGCCTGCCTCAGCCTCAGCCTGCCTTAGCGTCTGCCTCAGCCTGCCTTCAGCCTCGGCCTCAGCCTCAGCCTGCCTCAGCCTCATCAGCCTCAGCCTGCCTGCCTCAGCCTCAGCCTCAGCATCAGCATCACCATTCTCAGCCTCTGCATCAGCATCAAAATGCGGCCCGGGAATGGAGTTCTGGGAACTCGAAGAGCACGAAGTGGCCTACAGTTGGCTCCGGGCATTCAAAATGTGGCCCGGGAATGGAGTTCTGGGCACTCGAAGAGCACGCAGTGGCGAACAGTTGGCTCCGGGCATTCAAAATGTGGCCCGGGAATGGAGTTCTGGGAACTCGAAGACCACGAAGTGGCCTACAGTTGGCTCCGGGCATCCAAAATGTGGCCCGGGAATGGAGTTCTGGGAACTCGAAGAGCACGAAGTGGCCTACAGTTGGCTCCGGGCCTCCAAAATGTGGCCCGGGAATGGAGTTCTGGGAACTCGAAGAGCACGAAGTGTGTGACTGTTGCATCCGGCCTCAAAATGTGGCCCGGGAATGGAGTTCTGGGAATCTCGAAGAGCACGAAGTGTGTGACTGTTGCATCCGGGTATTGAGAATGTGGCCTGGGAATGGAGTTCTGGGAAGTCGAAGAGCACGAAGTGTGTGACTGTTGGTGAAAAACGAGCCCGGCACCTGCCGCCCGGCAACTCCCAACACCTGCCCGGACCCCCCTGTGGAGTGATCTGCTGCTCTCTTTTGATCCCACTAGAAACCTATCAGTCTTCGCTGTTAGGTAAATTATCCCGGCAAAGCAACCTAACAGCGATGTGTAGAAGCATATCTGAAAGCATTCCCCTTAAGATTCAGATGAAAATCCAGTTGTCGAATTCTGCTGTTCTCGCAGTCGTAGTCGCATTCGCGATGACAGTCGCAGCGGCAACGGCAGTCGCAGTCACAGCCTCAGCCTCAGCCTGCCTCCTCCTCCTCCTCCTCCTCTTTCTCCTGCTCCTCCTCCTCCTCTCCTCCTCCTCCTCCTCCTCCTCTTCCTCCTGCTCGTCCTCGTTCTCGTCCTCCTCGTCTTGCTCGTCCTCCTCCTCCTGGTGCTCTCTCCTCCTCCTCCTCCTCCTCCTCCTCCTCCTCCTCCTCCTCCTCCTCCTGGGTGGTCCTCCTCCTCCTCCTCCTCCTCCTCCTCCTCCTCCTCCTCCTCGTCCTCCTCCTCCTCTTCCTCCTCCTCCTCTCTCCTCCTCCTCCTCCTCCTCCTCCTGGTGTCCCCCCCCTCCTCCTCCTCCTCCTCCTCCTCCTCCTCTTCCTGGTCGCCCTCGTTCTCGTCCTCCTCGTCTTGCTCGTCCTCCTCCTCCTGGTGTTCTCTCCTCCTCCTCCTCCTCCTCCTCCTCCTCCTCCTCCTCCTCCTCCTCCTCCTCCTCCTCCTCCTCCTCTCCTCCTCCTCCTCCTCCTCCTCCTCCTCGTCCTCCTCCTCCTCCTCCTCCTCCTCCTCCTCCTCCTCCTGGTGTTCTCTCCTCCTCCTCCTCCTCCTCCTCCTCCTCCTCCTCCTCCTGGTGGTCCTCGTTCTCCTCCTCCTGGTACTCTCCCCCCCCCTCCTCCTCCTCCTCCTCGTCCTCGTCCTCCTCCTCCTCCTCCTCCTCTTCCTCCTCCTCCTCCTCCTCCTCCTCCTCCTCCTGGTACTCCTCCCCCTCCTCCTCCTCCTCCTCCTCCTCTTCCTGGTCGTCCTCCTCCTCCTGGTCGTCCTCCTCCTCCTGCTCGTCCTCCTCCTCCTCCTGCTCGTCCTTCTTCTCCTGCTCCTCCTGCTCCTCGTCCTGCTCCTGCTCGTCCTCGTCCTCCTGGTCTTGCTCGTCCTCCTCCTCGTCGTGCTCTTGCCCCTGCTGAAAATGTGGCCCAGGAATGGGAGTTCTGGGAAGTCGAAGAGCACGAAGTTGCCTACAGTTGGCTACGGGCATTCAAAATGTGGCCCGGGAATGGAGTTCTGGGAACTCGAAGAGCACGAAGTGGCCTACAGTTGGCTCCGGGCATTCAAAATGTGGCCCGGGAATGGAGTTCTGGGAACTCGAAGAGCACGAAGTGGCCTACAGTTGGCTCCGGGCATTCAAAATGTGGCCCGGGAATGGAGTTCTGGGAACTCGAAGAGCACGAAGTGGCCTACAGTTGGCTCCGGGCATCCAAAATGTGGCCCGGGAATGGAGTTCTGGGAACTCGAAGAGCACGAAGTGTGTGACTGTTGCATCCGGTTATTCTAAAGGTGGCCCGGGAATGGCGTTCTGGGATCTCGAAGAGCACGAAGTGTGTGACTGTTGCATCCGGGTATTGAGAATGTGGCCTGGGAATGGAGTTCTGGGAAGTCGAAGAGCACGAAGTGTGTGACTGTTGGTGAAAAACGAGCCCGGCACCTGCCGCCCGGCAACTCCCAACACCTGCCCGGACCCCCCTGTGGAGTGATCTGCTGCTCTCTTTTGATCCCACTAGAAACCTATCAGTCTTCGCTGTTAGGTAAAAACACAAAACATGTGCGCTCGCCTGGCATCCTGCCTGATTCCACGAATCTCCTCCCATTCGATTGCGTAACATCCTAGCTTCACGTCTCGGAATTCGCTGTATCATGGAGTTGTAATGGGATTCGTAGATGATGCTTGTGGTGCTGAGGCCGCTACCAGGTCTGTAACACGTGGCAGAGGTACCCAGGCGGGAGCAGGAAGCGAGCGTGAAAGTCGGGCGACGGCCAGGCGGAGATATGACGCGCATATTTAAACAGCCGCCGTGATCGAAACAGACAAGCTGATGCACAGGCTCCGCAGCGACCTGGAAGCATAGCAGGACGGAGGGTGGCAGGGGGGCGGGAGGGGAGGGAGAAGGGAAACGCGACAAACGGACCAGGTCCAAAGGCGCGCACGTCCTGCGCGATAGGCGGACACTTATTCCCTCGGATTTCATTGTCGACTTCGTTTTGTGAAGACGCTACGCTGTGGATGCGGTTGGTGCGGCTCGCGACGTGTGAAGCAGAAGTTGCGCTAGCGCACGGGGAGGCAACCTCTTTGCATGCATAGCAGATCGCACGTATCTTCCTGTTTTGCTTCGAATATCACAAGGACCAACCTTGGCTTAGTATGTATGAGAAGCCCGTGGTTCTGGATTACGCTGCCCTGATGCAACATATAGACAACTTTACATATAATACAATCGGCCGGTCGATTTTGTATCCCGTTCATAAGGGGGGGGGGGGGGCCAGTGGCAAAGTACCCTCCAAACCCCGCTGATACACATGGAATGCTTCAGCAATCCGAGCGAGGCATAGCCGTGCTGGCTCGGAGCTCCGTCATTCTGGCCTCGAGCTCGAGGAACAGATGACACCCGGCGCAAAAGCAGTCGACCACTCCCCTTCTTCCTCGCAATTCTGTTGCTCATCTTCCCTCGTCGCCTCCGCTTCCTCCGCCGCCTCCTCATCCTGCATTTGCGTCTCGCAACAAGCTTCACGGGTGGCCTGGCTCTCGCCAAGCCTGCGCTTGCCAGGATATGACGGTAGAGCTCTACCAGCGGTGGGATTCAGGCTCAGCCGCTGGAGTCTGGCTTCTCACCCTCGGCCTGGTCAGCTGTGCCGACTGGTGGGCGCTTGGCGACACCGAGAGCGATTCCTTAGCGATTCTCATTTCCCGCAGGCAGTAGCTCGGGGGCGGCGCAGGCGGCGGCAGCCCACAGGAGCCCCCCCTGCGCGAAGGCCACGAGCTCCTCCTCCTCCTCCTCCTCCTTCATCGCCGCCGCCTCCTCCTCCGACGCCTCCTCCTCCACCTGCATCTGCTTCCCTAGAGGCCTCCTAGATGGGGTCGGAGTAGATGGGGTCGGAGGATCGCGCCGCATCGCCGATAAATCGGTGATGCATCGGCGACGCATCGGCGACGCCGGCGACGCAACGGCGACGTCGGCGTGGAGAAAAGCGGACTCCACATCGAGCCGCATCGCCGGAGCATTGGCGATGCGGCGCGATGCTCCGACCCCATATACTCGGACCCCATTTGGAAGGCATATACACCTGCATCTGCTTCCCCACCTCCTCGCCGCCCACCTCATCCCTTCCCAGATCGCACAGTGGGGTCTCGAGCCCACTCCCCATACGTTCTCATATTTATCCTGGGGGTCGACGATAGATAGTGCCTGTGTGTTTCTTCCCCTCCTGGTCCTCCTTCTCCTCCGCCGCCGCCGCCGCCCTCCACCTGCGTCTGCTTCACCACCGCCTCGCCGCTCTCCCCCACATCCCAGAAATAATGTCGAGCACCCAGAAAAATCTAACAAATGTCGAACAACTATCGCCTCCCAGAGCCCGACACGGAAAACCCTCCAATTTCGGTACCTCCCTGGTGCTCGAAATTCTTTCTGGTGAACAAGGCTAGAATAGGTGGGAACACCACAGCGCCAGGGGGGGGTCTCCAGCCCGCAGCCGCAGAGTGGGGGGTCGGGTCGCGGGCGGCGGCAGCCCGCGCGGAGTACTCGCGCAGGGGCGCCGCCTCCTCGGGGAAGTCTCTGGGCGTCATGCCTTGCGCGGACCCCCCTTCCGCTGCCGAGGACAGGGAGGCCAGGAAGAACGTTGGGTCGGGCATGTCCTCCTACAGGGAATTTTGGATTGACCAATCAAACATAGTCAACACATGTTCAAAACAAATGCCCAAACATACTCAAAACATCGTTCCCGGACTATTTCCTAAACTACTCTTCAACCTTCCTCCTGTAGAGAGACGCACCCGACTTAAGAGGAACACTAGAGGCCTCCCAGATGGGGTCGGAGTAGATGGGGTCGGAGGATCGCGCCGCATCGCCAATGCATCGCCGATGCATCGGCGATGCGTCGGCGATGCATCGGTGATGCACCGGCGATGCATGGTCGACGTCGGCGATGCAGCGGCGGCGTCGGCGTGGAGGAAATCGGGCTCCGCATCGAGCCTTATCGGCGATGCATCGCTGATGCGGTGCGCTCCTCCGACCCCATCTATTCGAACCCCATCTAGGAGGCCAAGGAAGAGGAGGAGGTCAGGAAGAGGAGGCCAGGTAGAATACGATCGTCGCGCTGCCACCCCAGACCTGCTCGCGCCGTGAGCAAAAAATCACGACGGGAGACATTTCGTTGTGTTTGGTTCCCGAAGGGCCCTCGCCAGGCCGAGGCCCGTCCGAAAACGGTCTAGGATGAAAAACGGGTCCCGTGGTTCGGGCGGGCTGTAATGGGGGGTGCCCGACTTGGGGGGTGAAGAGAAGGGCCCGAAAGGGGCACTTCAAGGGCCCCTTTTGGAGCCAACAGGGGCCCAAAAGGGGCCCTACGGTGCCCCTGTAGGGCCCTTTCCTTCACCCCCGAATTGGGTCAGCCCCCATTGCCGCCCGCCCGAGTGAAGGGGTCCATGAACCTCCTGGGATCCCATACAGTCGGACCTAGGACAGAAGAACATCCTGCAAGAACATGAGACCCTCCGCCAGCCAAAACGCACAGGACATCCAACTGTAACCTCTCCAGGGCCCAGGGGACACAAGGAGATCCAACTGACACGCAGAACATCAGTCCTCGTGGCCCAAAGGGGGGTCCAGCTGAAAGAGGGTGGCGCAAAGATTTGGGCAATTGTATTTCAACTGTATTGCGCCAGAGAAGTGTATTGCATTGTATTGCGACTAATGCGTGGAACGCAAAAATTCAACAATACATTTACGCCCCGGAATGTACTGCACACCCCCAATCTATATTACACCAAATCCATTGCACCAACCCCTTTGCGCTGCACGCCTTGTGGGTAAACCAGAATCAGGGTGCCCTCCCCGAACCGACCTCGATCTTATACCTCGGTCCAGCGGTATATTACCTCAGGGGGGCCCGCAAAAACAAATTCAGTACACAACATGTTTGGGGAGACCTCCCGATGAGGAGCGCACAGGGCCTCGGCCAGGACGGCAGGTTTATGTCGGGCATGTCTTCTTGCAGGTGGATTATGGAGAACAGTAGTCAATCCTCGTATTTCTTTTACGAGAGATGATGTGCGTTTCCTCAAGTGAATTCGAACTCTAGGCCAGCTACGGAGCTGAGATGCACACTGATCGACAAGGAATGCTGAGAAGCACCAGTCTAAAGTATGTAGACGCCTCAGATCGGTCTGCTACAATCTTACTCTCAAACAACGTGGAGGGACCCGAACAAATACATTCTGCGAGTTGTTAAGCTGACAATCGAGAACGCTCTCTCCTCGTAATCTGAGCGCTGATTTGCGTGTTGAGAGCTCTACGAGGGTCCCGGCGGTAACCTGGTTGGCCGGCTTACCGCCGGCTCCCAATACCTCGTAGAACTCTTCGGCATCGACGATTTAGAAAAATTCCGGCGCGGGGTGGAGCTAGTTGGCCCACCCGGCCCGGGCGGACAATGTGGGAACTTTGGGTCGGTTGGGCGAATATTGTGAGAGACTTGTGAGAGATATTCCCTGTAGTCAGTCATGGCGCGCTTCATGGTGAAATCCTTAGGGCTGTAGCTGCAGCGCAGCTATCGAAAATTGATGGGAACCGTCGACCGTCGGGATGCATTTCCCATATGAAAGCGGTTTCGTGAATTTCACTCAAGCAAGAAGTAAGCTACACACCTCCAGTATGTGTTGTACCTGTACTAGGTTATGGCGCGTCGGCCTGTCAAATTATCAGGTTCTTAGCTGTAGTATTAACAAAACGCTTGGCGGAATCAAAAAACCAATGAAGCAGATTCAATAGAGCACAACAAATCGTCACCAGGCCATTTTTCTGCTACTCTTGAGTATTCCCTGTGTAGTGGGACATGCCCGACTGAAAGGGCAGGTCCCCCAACCTAGAGATCGAAGGGGCGGCCCAAAAAAAAAACCGTGCCCCCCCCCCCCCAGCGAGCCAAACGTGGGCCCTTCTCTTGCCGTCGCTCGGACGCCCAAACCCCCGGGCACTCGTCGGCGTCGTGCGCCAGGACACCACCCGTCCGGGACGAGCTCCGGAGGAGGAGCGCGCAGGGGCTCTGCCGGCCACGGCGGGCCAGGGTGGGCCCCGCTGCCTTCGCCACGCGATGCGGGAGGCTCCTCGGGGGGCCCACGGCGGGCCTCGGCGCCACGAGGAGAGGTCCCCCGACCCGGAGCTCGGGGGGCGGCCCGGAAGCCAGAGCAGCAGTGCACGGGCGGACCCGGGCCGGAAGAGCATCTCTCAAGAGCCTGAGAGCCTGAGACCCTCCAGCGACCCGAAAACCAGAGCAACCCTTCCCGAGCCAAGCGTGGTCCTCCTTGCCACGTCTTGACGGTGTACAGTCGGACCCAGGCCAGAAGAGCGTCTCTCAAGAACATGAGACCCCCTCCGCAGGCCAGAACATGCAGAGCAGCCAAGGGCACCCTCCCCAGGACGCACAAGGACATCCATTTCTTCTTGGGTTCGTCGGCGGCGGGGCAGAGGCGGTCCGCTACAGCGTGTGGCAATCCGGGGCAACCGACTGGCTAACTGGCCGGCATGCAAGAGAGGGAAAAGGACTAGGGCGGCCGCGCCGGGCACCGTCCCCGAACCCACCTCGATCTCCTGCCTCGGCCCGACTGTGCCAGGAAGCCGGGCGCACATGGCTGGAATCACGCCCGTCGAGGCCACGCGACGGATGCGCGTTGAGGGAGGCCTGGCCCACACACGGCCACCGTCGAGGGCCGATCGCTGGAGAGGCACCAGGCTCCACCTCTCGCCCAGGCTGGCCGCTTCATGCAGGTCCAACTTCCTGGCCACAGCGGGCCGAGATAGCGACAATAGATGCAGCGTTTCGACTGGGTGGAAAGGCTGTCATTTAGGACCCTGGATAATGAGCGAGGCGCTTTTTGCAAAAAGTTCGGATTCGATTTCCCATGGAACACATATAAGGCACACCCAAAGAAAAACTGCAAACCAGGCAAACCAGTTGAGGAGGACTGGGCCCCTCCCCCACGAAAAGGGCTCCTTCTTGAGCGGCCCGACTGCAGGGGGCATCTCTGGGGGAACCCGTGGGCCTGGATGACGCATGGGGTGCCGCGGCCGTGCCAGGACGGTCTCCAGACATGCGACATGCTGCTTTGCTCCGTGCCGGGGGCCCCGGGAAGCACCGACCTGTTCCCAGGGCCGGTTGCTCACCCTCGGGCAGCTGCCTGATGGCGGTCCCAGGTTCCGGCGAGGGCCTCCCGAGCCCGAGCGCGGGGCCGAGATTCCCGCGCCGCGCTTTCTGTTCCGAAGCGAGCAGGTCTGGGTGGCGACGCCCAGGGAGGATCCGAACCTGATCTGGCAGGCCTGGCCCGCCCTCAAAGCCGCGGAGCGTCATGTGCAGGTCGGCAGCGCGATCGGCCGCCCAGGCACCCATCGATCTCGGTCGATGGATCGGTCGGGCCGGAGGGCGGGGCCCCGCTTGGACCAACCCTGAGACCCGACGTTGCAAAAAAGTTGCAACATTGCAACAAAATCACCACGAGAGCCCCGGACCCCATCTTCCTGCGTCAACTTTCGAGCTGGATCGATCTTTGAGGCTCCCGGGGCCCGAAATTAAGCGAATACGCCCGGTGTGAAAAAATGGCAGCGCCAGGATCTCAGGGAATAGGACCCAGGCCTCCGCAGCAGGCGGCTGTGCACACCGCCACCGCCCTGGGCCTCGGATGTACACGGCGCGCGCGCCGCCCGATCGAGGCGTGGCGGATGGCTACAGCGGGGGCCCGACCACAAGAAACCCTCCACAGGAAACCCAACCCTGAGACCCCAGGGCGTCCCTCGCGTTTGGTGTGGGAGCGTCGCGCTTCCCATGGCAGAAGCATCGAAACCCAAGACACCCAGGGCAACCTGGAGGCAAGCAGGGTGCTTCTTGGCATGGGTCTCCACTGTGTGCAGGTGTGGCTGGCCTTGAAGGCCCTGGACCTGAACAGTTCTCGTGTAGGCGGCGTGCGCACCGGCGGAAAGGGGCGTGGCGGATGGCCACGCAGATGTGGCTGGCTTCGGAGGCCCTGGATCCAAACACTACGTCATGTAGATGGCGTGCGCCCCCCCAGATCGACGCGTGGGGGATGGCTGTATATGTATATGTATATATATATATATGTGTGTATGTATTCACCTGGGGGATGGCTATATGTATGTATGTATGTATGTATGCATGTATGTAAGTGTTTATGTATGTGTGTATGGATGGATGGATGGATGGGTGTATGTATGTATGCATGGATGTGTGTATGTAAATGTGTGTATGTATGTATCTATGGATGGATTGATGGATGAATGTATGCACGCATGCATGCATGCATGTACGCATGTGTATGTATGTATGTATGCATGCATGCATGTATGTATGTATGTATGTATGTATGTGTGTATTGATGTATACGTGTATGCATGTATGTCAGTACGTATGTGTGTATGTATGTATGGATGTATGTATGGATGCATGTATGTGTGTATGTATATATATATATATGTGTGTGTACGTGTGTATGTGTGTATGTGTGTATGTATGTATGTATGTATGGATGGATGGATGGATGAAGGTATGCACGCATGTGTGTATGTA